CCAAGGAGGTGATCCTCCCCCTCTATGCGGCACTGGTCAGGCCGCAGCTGGAGTACTGCATCCAGCTCTGGGTGCCGCACTTCAAGAGGGATGTGGACAGCATGGAGAGGGTCCAGAGGAGGCCACTTGCATGATCAGGGGGCAGCAGGGCAGTCCCTATGAGGAGAGGCTACGGGACCTGAACCTGTTCAGCCTCCACAAGAGAAGGCTGAGGGGGGGATCTAGTGACCTGTTACAGAGGGGACCAGCAGGCATTGGGGGAGTCCCTGTTCCCCCGAGCACTACCAGGAGTGACCAGGAATAACGGTCACAAGCTGGCACAGGGTAAATTCAGACTAGACATCAGGAGGCGCTACTTCACGGTCAGGGCGGCTAGGATCTGGAACCAACTTCCAAGAGAAGTGGTGCTGGCTCCTACCCTGGGGGTCTTTAAGACAAGGCTAGACGAACACCTTGCCGGGGTCGTTTGACCCCAGTACTCTTTCCTGCCATGGCAGGGGGTTGGACTTGATGATTTGCTTTGGTCCCTTCCGACCCTACTAACTATGAAACTATCTCGCACTGGATCGTGGTACTTCTTAGACAACTGCTCTGTCAAAAGTGCCACTGCTCTGGATAGAATCATAGAAAATGAGGGCTGGGAGGGACCTCAGGAAGTCGCATCTAGTCCAACCCCTTGCTCAAAGCAGGACCAGCCCCAAACTTGATCATTCCAGCCAAGCTCTGTCTAGCTGGGTCTTAAAAACCTCCAAGGATAACTCAGTCCTAATCCCGTGTTCCAGACTAGTGGACCACCACTGGTTAGACTCTACTTCCCAAAATTACTGTTTTTCAGATTCAGAGATCCAAATGCTTTGGTCGATGCCAGACCTTTTCTGAACACCAGATGCAGGGGAAGAGGCTTCTGGGATGCACAAAGTTATGTAACTGGGTAAATACGGCTACAGCCTCCACCCTTTAACTAGGATAATTATTTTTTGCCTGGGAATTGCACCCTGAAATGCTAAAGGACAGGACTCTGGGGCTGTTTCCCTCCACTTTGTCTTGTGTAACATCCTGTAAGAGGATGCCTTGGGTCAAGGGGATTTTTGTGGAACATGAGTCACTTCATTAGTTCCTAAAGCACTCTTATCTCACTGCAACTACACAAGGCACAGCCAGGGATTCCCTGCCTTCTGCTGATGCTAGGCATGTGTAATAGCTGGGCAGCTGCTGCAACTCAGAGTACTTGTGAGGAAATTAACCTTGTGCCCAGAGTTATGTGGGTAGGAGGTGTCTAGATGGCATAAATGCCCAACTGTTGGGCTTGAGAGTATGCAGAGCAGGAGCAGGTGGTAGGGCTGCTTCTCTGGGGGCAGGCACCACCAGTAAGACTGAACAAAGTCACCTTTATGCACCTGCCACTGAATTGACTGTTCCTTGGAAACTGCTTGGGGTCCAGGCTGACAAATCCACCCTCTGCTAAAAGGGACTGTTGCTGGGTGCTCAGATTATCAGAGGAGACATGGGGAATCTTTCCTGGGGGTGATTTTTGTTCTTGTGTGTTTGACGTGACAAGCCACGGTGCACGGTGTTATGTTGGAAGCCAGACCTGCTTTCCAGAATTCAGGGCACTGATGCAAATGGAACCCTTGTGCAAACATCTGCGACATGCCTGCCTTCCTCATTTAAAAGTGGGCTAGCTTCTTGGCACTTTACCCTTATACGTTGGGCAATATGTTGCATGCGACAGCTTGAACTGAGAGAGCGCTTTAAAAATAAGAGAGACTGGACGGAAAGCAAACCCAGTCTTCTCCAAGCCATTAGGTGTGGTGCCAGCTATTATTAACTGTGGATATGACTGTGCAATTTTAAATTCTGTATCCCTCTACAAGTGATTATAACACAAGCAGCCGATAGCTCTCAAGTGCTGCATTGTTTTTTTGGGAAGCTTCTGTAACTAACATCAATTCAATCTAATTTATTAACAAGCAGCAGTGAGGGGAAGGAGATTAATGCATTTGGGTAATAAAAGTTTTTCATAGATTCATAGATTCATAGATTAAGGGTCGGAAGGGACCTAGTAGATCTTCTAGCCCGACCCCCCGCCAGGGCGGGAGAACAACAAAAAACCCCAAAAAGAGAAATGGGACTCAAACGAGTCCAGCCAGGTAGGCATCCAGCCTCTTCTTAAAGACCCCCAGGGTAGGGGCCAGCACCACTTCCCTTGGATTTTGCATTCACTGCTTGTGATTTAAGGAGCCAGACTCCTTTAGTTTGATTTTTTTTCCCATATAATGCAATTAGTAGCAGAGCCAGTAGGTCTGTCTGCTGCCACAAAGGAGTTCAGTTCATGCCCTGATGGAAGCCTTATCACTAATGCTCCACTTTGATAGCAGTTCCAGTCCTTGGCCTTCCACCTCACAAATAAGGAGATGCTGTGCATATTGTTTAAACAGCATGTGCTGCTCCCAAAATGAGTGCGCCTCCTGTTCAGGATGCAGGACTGGGGTTTAATGAGGGGCAACAAGGACGAATAAAAGTCCCAAACTTGCCAGATCCTCTTTCTCCAGTCCCATAGTAGGAAGATGATCTGGATGCAGTCAGAGCCTGACATAGGCTACCCAGCACATGGGACCTTGAGAAGTCACATCCACGATCATGCGTGAAGGCCTGCTGTCATGAACCCACTGATTACTGGACAGCAAATGATGGACCTAAACAAGTCCTTTCTCGCTGATGTAGACTCAAAACATTCCTGCTGTTATGTTGTATTTTGAGAGGAGGCCAAAAGCA